CCATTTTTAGATTTTCTGGGACGTTACTCATTCTTAATCATTAAAATCTTAAACTTTTTCTTCAACTTTTTCTCATAATAATTAATGCCATAATAATTAAGATGACCAGACATCCCGCTTTTGGCGGGACAGTCCCGATTTTTAACAATTTGTCCCACATCCCGCGACGTTTTAAAAAAGTCCCGATTTTTGGAAAGAATGCACGATAAGCTAGGGAACGGCGAGAGAATACGGTTTTCGGCGGCCATGTGGCTACTTCGCCAGGATATGTGTCTTATATTCTTTTTGTGAATTTTATAATGTTAAATTTTAATAATAACAAATAATTGTTGACAACTGATTACGAGAACTGCTAATCAAAGTTCGCATTGTTGATCAGTTGTTAGAATTCAACCTCCGTTGTTTGGACTTAATGGCATTTTTTGGCACTGGCATTGACGAAAACATTTTGTAACTGTCTCTCAGACGATACACATCGTACTGCGTGCTAGTGAAACAAGTGATGTCAACAAATCAGCTATTCAGATAATTTAGGTACGTAATTTATTTATTTATTTCACAAACACATAATTTTCTTGAATTTAACAGACAGTACTCTTATTATTTATATTTTATAGTGGCAGCAAAAGGTCGGTCTTATGTCGGTCTTGAAAGTAACGCTTACGACTTACGTTACGGCAAATTTAGAGGAAAGATAATACAAGTTAATACTGTTATTATTTATAAAGAATTATAGGATTAAAATTATTTAAATAATTTTTAGAATATAGTTACTTTATAACAAATTAATTTAATTTTTAAATTAACAATAAAATATGTTCATGTAATTATGTACCTACTTACTGTGTTTTTAAGCAATATATATAGATAAAAGTTTATAATATAATTTATAAATTTATAATAAAATACTTCTGTGGATTTAGATTAGTAAGAACAGAAGATGCAAATTCAAAGATGATCTAAGAAGTGAATTTACTTTTGTTAAAAAAAGCAAAAGCGATCACATGGTAAAATGTGAGGAATGTAATGGTGAATTTTCTATTTCGCCCGGCTGGAAGAATGATATTTCAAAGCACTCGGGGACACAGACACATAAAAGATATTTAAATACTACTTCATTTTCCTCCAAAATGCAGGAATTCTTTCGTAAAACAATTTATGGAGACGAAGAAAAGAAATTAGCATTAGCAGAAGGACTTATATCTTTTCATGATAATAATCACAGTCATTCCTTCAGATCTTGTACATCACAAGTTGTCCAAAAGTTATTCAACAACAACAACAACAACAAAAAAAAAAAAAAAAAAAAAAAAAAAAAAAAAGACAGCAATCTACTAAAAGAATTCACTCAAATGAGAAATATGCCAAAGAATAAAATAATACTATACGCAATTTTTTAATGTATTGTATTTGTAAATTGTACTTATGTTGAAATTTAAAAAAAATGTATATTACAATACTATTTTTGCGTTCTATAAAAATTTGTGTTGCTCCATATAGACCAAAATTTTTAATCAAGAATCTCCCTCCCCCCCCCGGTAAATGGTGTCCCGCTTTACCAATGTTAAAATCTGGTCACCTTATAATAATGCTAAGTGATTTACGGGAAATATATTCGCGGGTCGTATAAAATATTTTCGGGGCGCATGTATCCTGCGACTTTTTAGCTCACTGCCGTTGAGAATATTGCTATACGAGTACATATGTATGCATATACTCTCAGTGTTAAAAGTGGTAACGTCCACGTGCTGAATTTTCTAACCAGGTACAGAGAGAGGAAAAAAAGGAAAGAAAAGAAAACGAAACGAAAAGTTAGTATATGAGCTTTCTTCCTCTCAAACCAGTTTAAAGGCTTAGTTTGACGTACGGAAACTGCGATATTTTCTTAACCCTAAAACTATTTATCTTCCTGTCCGTCAAGCAATCGTAAATCCAAGAAGATTATAAGCATGACTTTCAAAGCAACGCATGACAGAAAAAAGGGAAGTTTTACATGCAAAAATTCCGGGGAATGGCTTACTTAATTCTTCTTAACTTCTAACGCTTCGAATTAAATTTTAACTGAAAACTATTGTCTGATCAATTTAAAAATGTCCATTTAAGATTTTTTCTCTTGTTAAATATACATTTTCCTATCATTTTATCTTTTTCTTTTAGTCATTTGCAAGAAAATGTATTTTAATTGTTTTGAATATTTTACTGAATGTTTTTTTTAAGGCAGCAGACACGCGTTTCTAATCTGCTCTTTTTTGATGAAGTGAATCCAGACTTCAGTTTAAACACTTGTTTCTATCTCATTTACTCAATGCGTCCTAAAAACTCATTCTGGTAGGTAGACCAGAAGACGTAGGTGGGAAATGAGAAAATAAAGGAAAAGTTCGCTTCAAATTAAAATTGCTATTGCAAAATTAAAACAAACCACTACAACTCTATTACGTCGAGTTTTTGTTTCCATTCCTAAACATACTTTTATTTTCTAAATCTACCATTGAATTTTGTTTCCACGTTGTTTCATCACAGCTAAATTTAAAAATTATCCTACGTCACTTCTTTGCAGACGATATTTACTAAATGAAGTGTGATTTAGGTTTAAAATTTGAACTTAAAAATTTATTAACGAGAAACAAGTATTAAGGATGCTTATCATAAATGATTTCAAGCTTCACCTCTAGAGAAAATAATCATTTAATATTCATAATCTGCTAGCATACAGATTATAGCGTATATTACAGCGTTATTATAGCGTTTTTTTAACAATACATAAAATTGTTCTTTCTTTAACGATGATAGATTTATCACTTTTTAGCCGTTCGGGGAAAAAATGTTAGCACTTAAAATCAGATGTAAATGCTTGCTCTAAAATCAGTTGCTAAATATTCCCTTCAAAAATATATTCATCTACAAAAAATCGTCTTTGTATCAGAGCATATACATAACAGAAATTTCTTTTCCAAATTTAGCTTCTAGTTTTCTATTTGCTTCTTCATGTACATGATAGCCTGCATATAACTTAAAAATGAGATTAGTTTCGCAAGTATCGGTAAATAGCCTATACTTGTTTTACACTTACGATTAAAAAAGAAATATTAGATAAATGAAATGTACGCCAATCTAAATTTAAAAATTAGGAAACTGTTAGTTTAGTTTGGAGTTGATTTGGAAAAAAAGTATTGTTTGCAATGCGAAAGAATCTGGTACAGGTAACGTAATTTCAATATTCAGCAAGTCTATAGTTGCTATACCAATATCATCACTTGTAAAAGAAACTAACATTTAGAAATTTATTGAGCAAACCTGAGAGAAAAGAAAGCGACCAAGAAATGGATTGAATTATCAGTAAGAATAAACAAAGAATAAACAAAAAGAAGATCGAATGAAAAATTATGGTTCAACAGGATTCTCGTAAATGTTAGTTATCATACATCACAGCAACTTGTACTTCTTTTATACGAGTTCTGATTGTAATAATCTGAATTACTTAAACGAAAATTTACTCTTGGGATCCTATTCCCACCGCCTGTGCTTCTAGTTTTGTTAATGATGAAACAGAATTATGAAAAAGTAATGATTGATTTTGAAAATACTCCTAGATCTACTCTTTGTTGTCATGGTTTAGCCACGTAGAGAATATCAAAAATGTTTATAATTTCGAATATCATATTCCCAAGGGAAATTTATTTTTAGGTCGCCATCAGACATCACGTATGAATAAGCTTTCAAAAGTGTAACAAATTGCGAACGAGCCATAATAATTACCCTTAAGGCCAGACAAGATCTGGGGGCTATATTTAGCCAGCGTTCCCTCCTGTATTATCGGAGGTTTAGTTCCTGGGTTTACCCAATAATTTCTTCCATCCTTGTCCCAAGGCTCCATTGACTGCTCAGGTTTTTTCTGGCAGTTTCAGGGCATATCTTTTATGCTCCGTTTAGGTGGCTTTTAGCGGAAAGTTTATTTTGAGAGCTGCTGTTCTCCAATGCATGCATGCTTCTCAATCAGATAGCTTCATCGGACTGAGTGATGACTTTCAGGTGTTACTTAGGTTGTTTTGAGTTTAAAGAGCTTTACATATCTTTTTAATAATCGCCATAATGACAAGAGATATTAGGGTCTTAGAACATGGAATTTGTGAGAACTTCTATTCTGGGAATATGATAAAAGTTTTGTTTGGGATGAAGACGAGAAGTCCTGGTATATTCTCAATTCGTTTCTGTTTCTCTTGATTTTAATGAAGTAATATAATAAATTAGCCTTTTAAAAATTAATCGCATTTGTATGTTTTTCCTTCGTTTTCCCTTTTGCTTCTGTTTGAAAAAAAGGTATTCATTACATTTAAAATAACTGTCAGATGATTGTCTGAGCTTAACCAAACTTGTATTATGATCTTGATATTAAAAGAAGAAATTGCTATATAATTGATAATAGTAATTATTATGACATTACGGGATACTTAAAAATTCCTTATTAATGTTTTTCTTCGTTATTTCATTTGAATATTACGTACTTCTGATTACAATCCTAGCATAAATGACTGCAGAGCTTTTTAGCGTGTTATTTACTTTCGTATATATTAACTCTTTTAATAACTGTATTTGCAATCCATTTATTAGCCCAAAAGGGCTATTAGCATCAAAACGCCATTTTGCGTTGTTTCACTTTTCATTCGAGACTGTTACCATTCAGAAAAATTATCTTTTTATTATCAAGTTATTAATTATTCTTTCATATTTAATCTGTTTCTTATTAATTAACAAATTAAGCTGTTTAAAAGCAACAGGTGCAGTTCTTAAAAATATTATTTTTTTTTTTACTTTTTGATTTGATTGATTTAAATAAAAATACATTTAATTCATGGAACATCTAATTAAAAACATCCGGAAGTTCCCTTTTGAACTATTTGTTTAAATTTAAGCTATTTCCAAACAAACGGAAAGTTTAATATTAAGATTTCGAATAAGTATGACAGTAACCAATATTTATCGTCGATTTTTCAATATTTTAGCGGAGTTTTTTGCTAAATGTCACGAACCTTGAGCCCTGCTCGTAACCATGTCGGAGGCTATGGGCGCCGAAACAGATCCACTCTTCCCATAGAAGAAAATCTCGATTATTTGAATGATGTTTTAGAAAGATTTCGAAGAGACGCTTTGCGACGCAGAAGGGAATTCAACATAGTAGATGAAGGTATGTATCAAATGTATCCGAGTCAATATTTTATATTTTTAAATTTATATTAATAATAGCATCCAGTTAATATTTGCAACAGTCTTATTAAAAATATTTTATTTTTCAACATGTAATTTATATCTCAAAACCGTCCTTTTCTCTTGTTATAATAAAGTTTTAAAACACAGACTGAAATTTATTATATTTGAGTACGACTGAAATTTTTTAAGTACATCGAGATTTAATTCCTCGGTTCTTTTGAGTTGTATGCAAAAGCTAATCTTTTAACATTATTAAGCCATTAAAATTTTATATTTTCTATATGCTAAGTATATTTACTATATTCCTGTATATGATAAGCATAACTTCAAATAATATCATAATTACTGTCTTTTTCTCTATGTACAAATGTTTGTATGTACAAATTCTGTCTGTATAAAATTTGTATTTTAAAATAATTTTTATAAATTTTTCAAAAAACATTTTGAATTATAATCTATATAATTCTTACCATCATCTTAAAGTAGACAAATTTCTGCAAAAAATTACAGTTTTTTATTCAAGGTTTCCGAAGATATACGTGAATTTATAGATTGGCGCGTTTTGAAATTTGGCATATTTATTAAAAGCGTTAAAACATCAAATGTGGTTTAGACACTTTGTTAAAATTATTTGAAATTAGGAATGATGTGACTTTTTTTCCGCTCATGCACAATTTAAAAAGGCAGGAACGAGGTGCCTTTTTCTACTGGGGCATAATGGAAGGGTAAGGAAAATAGGTTGCCATATATTAAGAAGTTCGGCAAGTAAATTATCCTTGGCGCAAACTGAAGAAATTGCGCCAAGATAAATTTTTGAATTTCTCCGTAAATTTCGCACTAAATTTTACAAAATTTTATATCTAGGCATAATTTGAGTCGTAGAATCGAAATATGGAAAAAAAATGGTATGTTATTTCAGAAAAAGTTAGATTTTGTGTCAAAATACCTATATTAGAACAATGCTAAATATAAATCTAATACATATCCTAAGTCGCACTTTCGAGACGTGAAAAACGCAATTTGAATTTTGTCAATCGGCTCAATAGAAAGGGAGATATAGAACTGTCTTTTTTCTTTTTTCTTTATTTTCCCCGCAGTGTACATCATGAATATTATAATCAGGAACTTGTTAACCCTGGAAAGCTTTGTTTCCAGACTTTCGAAACAATTAGATGCAATGCAGTTGAAAATGGGAATGAGAATAAAAAGAAGAGGTTCTTAGAAAAATAGGAAATGAACCAAAAATAGGAAGAAAACGCTTAAAATCAATTTAGGTCTAGTTTTAAGCATCCCAGATTCAATTCCCGATCAAGGCAGAATTTTAGAAAAGTGTATCGTATATGCTTTAGCCTATTTGAACGTGTTAATCTAATTTAATTCACTAACAAATGTGTCTTACATAAACTGTTTAGTTCAGTTCCTATTTCTGTCGTTTTATTCGTTTGCTTTCTTAAAAACCCTCTATAGCGAAAAACTAAATACCACTAGCTATGCTGGTTAACGGATGCTACTTCCATATTTTGTGAGCCTGGGCTTGAACTTTTGACACATCTCAAATGTGTGTAGTCGTTTTCTCTAAAAAGCATAAAATTTTAAGGGTTCTTTCTGCTTATTAACTCTTACCCATCAAATGTTTCTTCAAAGATATGACGTGTATTATAACTGATAACTTAACTAAACGGTGAAAACATAGAAACATTAATATAAGCTTTGTTCTCTCTCACCCCTTGTGAGGGATGAAGTAAAATATTACAGAGCAAAATTACTAGTCTCCTGGACTTGTCATTGAAACATATGATCCTTTAATAATGTCTGTATTTACAAGCTGAAATACATGCTTAGCAAGGGTACAAGCTACGGTAACTAAAATCTAACTCAAATCTAGAATATAAGAGAGTCTGCGATAAAATGACGCATACGAGAAAAATGTAAATTAAACTTTATTTGGCTAACGAAGTTCAACTGTAAAGATATAAGAAAAGCGCTTACATTTTGTTCATCCAAAAGTACTCTTCTATGATTGCTATGCGAAAAGATAAGCAAAATACCCATGGATGCCAGTTTTGTGCATTACATTCAGTTAGAATAAACTGTTTGTTTTAATCATAGGCCCACAGTCTATCACCCGCAGCAGATGCATTCACCTCTCAGATGCAACGTTTCACAGCTTTATCAAATTTATTGAGAAAGTATAGAAATTGAATTTTGTTTATATGATTTGATGTGTTTTACTTCTTTAGCTGATAAATCTTTATCTCAATTGTTGAATCTTATTGCAATCACAATGCAAAATCGTATTCTAAGTACCAGAGATCTGTCATCAACAATAGATGCAGTCATCTCTCATCTTCAACTCTTCATCGGTTTGCCAAATAGGCACTGAAAAGATTACAGTATATCCAAAAATTTGTATACGAAAATTTGTATATCCAAAAATTTGTAACTAATGTGCCATCTTTTCAGTCGACAGGTCTTTGCCACAACCGATTGAAGTGGACACAGTTGAATTTTATTGCAATGACAATGCTAAGTCGCACCATACAGATAATTACGATTTACTGGAGGGAAAGGAACCATCTCCAGTGCTTCGCAGAGGAGACTCATTTTTCATGGCTATTCGTTTCAACAGGCCTTTCAATATTCAGACAGACAAAATTAGACTGGATTTCACTTTCGGTAAAATCCTTGAACTTTTCCATTTCATTTGCTTATATTAAAGTGTTATATTTTATTTTCAGTTTGACTATCATTAAATATGAAATAAAATATCATATGTTTACTATTGGCTGTGCATACTGTAACTAATTTTAAATCGGCATTCTAAGACTAGGTAATATTTTTTTAGAACAAATTTTTGGTCAATGTATAAATTTCTCAGAGTTCCTTTCTATTGAGTATTTTCTAAAATATGAATATTGATCTTAGACATAACCATTTAGGTCCTAAAAAACAAATTGGGAAAGGAACTCTTATTTTGTTGCCTGTAACGGACAAGAAATCTCTCACATTGGAGCCATCGAAATGGGATATCTGCTTAGCTCGAATTGAAAGAACTATTGTGACTCTACAAATTCAAATACCATACATGGCAGGTGTTGGACTGTGGCGCATGAAAATTCAGTCGCAAGTTTCAGGCAGTGAAAAAGTGAAAATTTATGAAAGCAAGGAAAGCATTTATATTTTGTTCAATCCTTGGTGTAAAGGTAAATGTTTTATATATTTTTTTTAATTTTTTCCACTTCCTGAATGTCTGTAACTCTGGTAAATCTTACTGTATCTTACATGCTAATGCTTTCTTAATCTGAAATCTTACAGTTTAATTGGAACTTTGATTCTCTTTATTTGTACAATAAAATATTTGAGATTTTAGGTTTTTTAACAATCATTAATAATTTAGATCATGTGTCGGCTAATGGGTCAGATTTATAAAATTTACTGTTCTGACTAATAAACTACATAAAACACCAAACGGCAGACATCAATGCGAGTGTTAACGCTCCCCCCCCAAAAAAAAAAAGATTTAAAAATCAGTCGTAAAGAGTTCTCAGTAATGCACCTAAAAAATACCTTAAAAAAAGTCGCTACTTGTGGTTCAAATATAGTTCAAATAAAAATAATTAGGCTATTTTTATCTTTATTTTAGTTTTGCATAATATCAGAAGAAATTATATTTTAAATGAACTTATGAATGGTAATCGTCATGTAATACTGAAAAGATTATTTCAGAAACAGGACCACTTTATTGTAAATGTAGGCAATGTCTTCAAGTTTGGGTAAAAATAAGATGTATGACGACAAAGCGCTTTTGAACAGAATATATTAATCATCTACAAGGAAATTTTATTTCTGTTCAGCAATCTCACTAATGTTCACGGAATAATTTGGATAAATCTGAATAGTACTCCGTAAGTGATAAATTAGTGCCAATAGGACCAATATTCAGTTTTAGACTACTAATAAATAAAACGGCAAATTTATTTGAAACTGAATAAGCTAACCACAAATTTAATAGTTTAATTAACATTAATTTAGAACCATGATAAAACTCAGAATATATTAATGATTAGTAAACCATAAATTTTATATAATAAATGTTCTAATAAAATGTTATTTTAGATTTCACGCTCTATTGTTAAATTTCTTTATCAATGTTTGCTAATCATAGTTTTTTTAATTTATTGTTTTGTTTATTTATTTATTGTTTTAGAGTTTTATTATCATTATTTTAATTAATATTCTATCTTGTCTCTCATTAAGTTCTTGCTTTTAGAAAGCTTTGAATCAGCTGAAGTCACTCATGACTTTATGGATTTGTTTATGATGTAATAACGTGTGTAATAAAATTCAGCATTAAATTTATTTACTTCTATTTTAAGGAATTCAAAACTGGCATTTTGTTCAGTTTGAAATATAGCTTTAAGTACATAGCTTAAAATACAGCTTAAATCTGCGATAAATTAAAGCGGTGAATCTAAACTTATTTCGTTTGAAGTTTCACTCCACTGCATATTTGTTATTGTGACAGGACGAATCGGAATTATGTTGTTTCAAAATGGCCAGACATTTGCAACTTAATGTTTTCGTCAAGAAAGGCCAGTACTCATCGGTCATTTAACCATCTCATCGCAGACAACGTTGCTCAAGATGTACCACAGAGGGTGACCGACTTTATACATGGCCTTCGAGATAACATGGCCTGGTTAGCTACGAGTGACGTCACGAAAGGCGTCCGATCCTTCCGTGACTTTCTTTGCTTCAGATTTGAATGCGAGCGTTTCGTTCGATGTTTAGAGTGTTTTGTTTTTAATCATGCATAATAATTAAATTTCCAGAGACTTGAAAACTTATATTCATTTGCAGTTAAGATTAATAACTTAATAAATATTATTTTTTAAGAAATATTCACGAAATTTTCTATGCCATGTTTTAGGTTATCTTGTGCATTTTTTTTACACTGTATTGTAATATTGTTAGGATACTCTCAAAAAAGAAAGTTTTGAAATAAGTAAATAAAAAGGCTGTTATTTATTAACATAAAAATGTCATTACAGTTTGAGAAGGAGAGGAATGAAAGGAATGAAAAGATTTAGAAATATAAATAATTCACTAACAAAAGTAAATATAATTTAGAAAATTAAAAGACATAAAAAATAATTTTTCCTTAAAACTATAAATATTTCAGAGCTTCCAAACATTATACAAATCTATTTTTAATCCACTTAAATTACTATATAATAAAATGAACAGAAAAGCCACAGAAAAAATTTAAATCTCAAAACTTTGTTAATTAAATAAATTACAATTTTGCTGCAATATTACAGAAAACGAATAATTTTCACATATTTATATGTTATCTATAGCAATAATTATAATAATATTTACATCATTTAATAATATTTACATTATTAGTTATATGAAGATGCATAATAAATAATATATTTACAAATAAAAGCCATCCATATAATGTTCCACAAAAGCGTAAAATCAATAAATTTGCCAACGAAAACCTCAAAACAACTATGCATAGAACAAACCATCATTTCTGTCTATTTAGCAAATACTGTGCAAGTTGTACTAGTATACTGAAACAATAATTAATCGCAATTGAGAATTTATTTTGAAAAATTATGAAGTATTATCAAATAATAAGGAAACAGCAAAAGGATTAATAAATTTAAATGTAAAAGATACATTATTGAAAATATATTTGAACTGCATCATATTTAGTACACTATTTTTAAAAAATAAAACAATGTCCATTTACATACTCATATCTTTTCATCACGTATTCTTGACATTTTAAGTTTCCTTTCATTGATTTTTGTATGCATATTATTTTGAAGAACTTTAGTATAATTGTTTAAACAAATATTTGAAATGGTGCTTGTTATTTTTTTCCACACATTAAACAAGTTTCATGAAGGGAATTCCACACATTAAACAAGTTTCATGATCATCAAACATGTTAATGTTTTGTACATATATCTCGGTAAGTTTGACCAGTAAAGAATGCTGTTCAACTTCTTTACTGTTCTTCTTTACTTTCAACTGGAACAACGTTATCTCCTAGATGAACTGCTATATCTATATGAAGCGATACAAAGATACTTTTCTCAATTTTAGGATATGGATGAAAACTGAGCAATAAATATAAATACCAGCAACAGATTGTGTAAAATAATATTTGAAGTATCTGAAATATTTAATTTATTCGGTAACATAGAAGAAAAATTCTCAAATGATGCTATTTTGTCCTTTCTCAAAAATTCATTAAAAATATGCTTCTTCATCTTAGCTCTTTTTTCCGCCCTGCTCATCCTCTGAGGGGTTGGACTTTCAGATAAGTATTTTGGACAACCAGAAAAAATGCATGGGTAAGCATCGTTATTTAATTTAGGATGCCCTCTACACATCTGAATAAAAGTATCTTCGTTTGTTGGTAAATAATCATAGCGAATAACATCTCTTTCGAAATGTTTTTAACACACAAACGTTGCGATCACTTGAAATATTTTTTTTTATCCATAAATCCCGTTTTATTGTATCTTTTGAAAATTTGAATACTGATACATATTCATTAGTGCATCGTAATTGGATTGCATGCTGGAACGCAACATCGTGCAGGCATGTTGAAGACGGCTCTACGTAGACGTCGATCGTTATTCTTGTTAACAAATAAGTTAACTAGTAATCTCAATTTAAAAACGAAAATATCCTTAACAACATTACTTAAATTTAGCAATAAAAAAGACACGAATAATAAAAATATACAGCACGCAGTAAACGCAATAAGAAGTCTTCGCTTGCAGTGTCCACACAATGCAGTGCGAAGGGTGAAAGTTCAGACGCCTTTACGTGACGTCAAATCACGTGATTCTGCAGCTGACCAGGCCATCTAATCTCAAAGGCCACGCTTTATACCCGTGAGAACGGGGAATTTAAATCCCAGTTTTGATGGAAAACACAACGGGAGACGAATTTGAGGATCTTTGGCTTTTCTTACCATACTAGCAAACTCCCTTGAGAGGGACCCACCAGCGGCCGAGCGGTAAAGTCGCTGAACACTGGTAGTTCGGTTCGAGGTACGAATCCCGTGAACGGGCTGGCTGCATGGATGTTTTCGTAGTTTTCCCCACGTGTAACGTGTATTGGAATAGTGGCATTTTATATCCTACTGTCATCAGATATACCAAATGGAAAGGGAGGAGGATTATTTTGCTAATGAAGTCTTAGCGCATTTAAGCGTTCGGTTATTAATATACTCAGACATTCATATAAGATTTTTAAATTTTTCGAACACGGATGAAGCAAGACCCTTTATAAGTTGAAGGACCGAGGCGGCACTTTTTTTAAATCATTTCAAATTTTGAAATATTTTCTGTTCTGTGTTTTACATTCAAAGAGAAAATTTCAACAAGATGTGATAAGTGTTAGAAATATATAATAGGACTATTTGAAATGAAATGTATTAGCTGTTTGAAATGAAGTATAGAATGAAATGTATTAGCATCTTTAAAATTTTGCAACATACTGATTAAGTTAGCACTAAGGTATAAATAAAACAAATTTCTCTTGTCTCATTTAATGTGAACTCAATGGAGTTTTGGATGGATTTCATTCGCCATTTTAACTGCACAAGCTAAGCCACTATGTACATCAACTTCTAATTCCACTATGTACATCAACTTCTGGACATAATTGCCAAGTTTAGGCGGCATTGGCTATCAGTTGACATTTCTATTGGAAAATTCCTGTCAGAACTGGCCATCTTATCGGTTTATGGTGACTGAAGGACGTAAAGAGTCGGAAAATTTGCATAGTTTGATTATTCACTCATTTCTACACTCTACACGTCTTTCTCCGTACTGTGGTGGGAAGCGAAAAAAGAAACAGAAGTTCAATTAAAACTAAGAAACTGCTACTAAAAATAACACAACATTTATTATTTTATAAGCCGGATGTATATTCCTTAACTTATTAACATCGTTCACAAATATTTGTGACTTTCAATAACAAAGTGTGCATAGTTATCCATCTACTTGCAAACAGTTAGTCTTAAAGTTAAATTATATCCCACTTCTTCTTGGCTCGGACAGGAAGATTATACAAATTGAATAGCAAGTGGCATAGTTTAAAAATAAGATAATAATCTTAACTATGAACACGTCGGAACTTGCACCACATTGCTGCGTCTGACCTGCGTATGTCGCTTGCAGTAGCTGTGAAGGAGATACTGAGGGATACTGACTGTGTGTGGTTATTTTAAGTACATCAGATCTTGACTCGGGTGTTCTAAGTATAAAACTTAGGCTATTCTTGCAAATAATCTGTTTCTTAGCGTCAAAGCAAGTCGCTTATATTGCATATTTGGCATGCAATTAAATAACATTAGGAGCGATAGCTCCCCACATTTTCCAGTAACTTCTGTAGACATCTGTTAGAGGGTAAGCTTAGGTTACTTCACATCACAGAAGTTGTAAGTGTATTTGTAAATTGTAAAGCCGATCTATCAAAAATAAAATCCCTAAATATTGTAGTGCCTCCTCATCATAAGAGTTATCTTGAAGAATAAGGGTATTTTATGTGTAAATAAGAAAGTTAGTTTGATCCTGGCGTTCGGTGATCAGTTGGTTATCGTCCGTTAATAAAGTCAGCAATTTTGTTCTAATTACTGTAATGATTGTAAACAACGTACATATGCACAGCGTGTGTTGCTAATAAATGAGAAGCTTATTTTGGATGATTAATGAGTAACAACAGACCACTCTGCTATAGATACTGCAAACATATTTATATTTTGTGTACCGTAGTTTCATTTCCGACATGACATTTTTCTAATTTTTCAAATATCGTTATTTTATTTCTGCTCGCCATATAATTAAATATGAAATAAAGAAAGGTTCCATTATGAGTTTGGAAAAGCTTTTTTTTTTTTTTTTTAATGTCGGGCATTAGTCGTCTTAGTCTTTCTCCCCTACTAAGGAGGGAACTGGTGGTCATGTTATTATGGAGGCACCTAATAAGCTGCCACCGTTACCTCCTATGGAAGGGACAGACAATTTACATCTATGCCTTCTCTGGGATTCGAACCCGGGCCCTTCGGTGTGGCAGTCAGAGTCACTAACCATTTTCCCACTTGGGTAGTTGGAAAAAGAAGATAAAACGTCGTGCAAATCTGTAATCCAGCTTGGAGATAAGAAAATATTTAGTGCAGTTGTAAAGTATAAAACTTAAGTGCTTTTGAAATCTATATACAAAGCAGCAGTGTCGTTAATGTGTATGAACCTTCAAGTTCCTGTTGAATATTCAGTTCCTATGACAGCTTGAAATGAAGCAAATGATGAATCACTTTTCCAGAAATTAAATCGGTTTAAAAGAACTGAGCAAAAACATTCTTTCCTTTCAATTTGACATTTACAAAATGATTCTACTTCAGATTGTTTTCAGGTTAACAAAATTGAGCAGTCTGAAGACTTGAAAAAGTCTTGAAATTTTTCACTTTGAAATCTTATGCTATTTATTATCGAAACAATACACATTCATATTCTGATCCAAAATTCTCTCAGTAGTGTCCTTCTTTAAAATGGCATTTAAATCCAGACATTTTATAAAATAATTAAGTAAGTTTACAAAAATAAAGATAATTAAAACACTAATTTGTTCTTAAATTGAGTGAGTTTCTTGTATGTGGGGGGGGAGGAGCTGAGAGAAGAAAGAAATGCATTAAAAATCTTTTAAAGATCGCTTAGACTTAGCGACTACACTAAAATACCCAACGTTTTAGCATGGATTAATAATTGTAGACAACAGTGTTACAGAAATGTTTATTAACAGACGGGTAATAGGAGATTGAACAATCCTTTATCCTTCACAGTCGTTCATAAATAAATTCGTAAAATTGATAATCTATGTAAATATCTTGGAAGTTGCATCCGAATTATTACTAATGAAAAAGAAACACTCATAGAAAATAAAAATACCTTCAATATTTGAATTGATAGTCTATTCTACAGGTACAGTAAATGCAGAAATCTGGACTTATTTTAAACAATTCAATAAGATGTGAATTATTGGTAATTATATTAAGGCAGCATGAATCAGAGTAATTTAATAAATTTGCGGGACTAGTTTCGAACGACTGAATATAGAACCTTCTTCTTCAGCTGCAGTATTATCATAAACTATTTAGGCTTAAGTATAGCTTAATACTAAACCAATGAGTATAGCACTAATAAACTCCAGAAAATTCGACTAGTAACATTAATGATAATAATAATTAGACAGTTAAACAATAAATTTTAAACGGTAAATATGCGCTATGTTAAATTAATTTTAATGTATAAAAATACATTTAAAATATAAATATGAAATTTCGTTTTACGTTAATTAAAGCTTTCATTGGTATATTTTCTACGACTACACTAAGATTTCTACGACTAGCAAGCTTTCCACTACAGGTATGTGTCAGATTACTTAACTGACTACTGAATTCATTAACGGGTAAATAAAAGTGTATCCAGATCAGTAAGAATTTCACACTCTGAGAAATCCAGTACTTAATAATCCTTCTTAATAGGTTGCGTCTTCTAAAAATCTTCATTAAATTCATATTCTCCTGGGCAGATGGAATTGAAACAAAAACAGCAAAGGATGGAAAAATTTAACTGATGATGAGAAGCATATGGCTAGCAACAGTCGTTAATTTTGTAAATATGATGAAAGAGTAAATAATAAAAAAATACTGAAAAATAAATAAAGATCTCGATAAAAAAATAATGAACCTTACTTGAAATTTCTTTAAATTTACAATGTTTTACTTTAAAACACATAAATATCGGCTTTCGGCCAGTTGCTTTTCCGATCGGGTTTCAAAGCTACTAGAAAATTTGGCATTCTCTTATTTTCTTGCAAATAAACCAATGTATGTTAAATCATGAACGCCTTATACCTTTAACTGAAAATTTTTCATTAGATTCTTTTATTTGAATGAAACAATAACACAAAAAAGGAAACGTAATCTCTTTTTTTATTATTATTATTATTATTATTATTATTATTATTATTTTTGTCTATGCAGATGATCCTGTGTACATGGAAGACAGCAGATCCCGACAGGAGTACGTTCTGAGCGATGTGGGAAAAATTTATGTTGGATCTTATAACAAACCAGTCGGACGACCTTGGGTTTTTGGACAGGTAAGATTTACAATCAAATATCGACGATACTATCACAAAAGTTTACGTTTTCATTTAACTATTTGCGAATATATCCACTCAGATTGTAAAAATATGATTATAATTATAATACATTTATCAAAATATAATTAACTGCACGCGATGTTTCGTTATTCTTCTTAATTCTACAAACTGCGCTAATTATAATAGTAAAAATTTCAACATTTTGACATATCTCATTGTGCAGTTTATGATAATATGTTAACTATCTGTATATCGGCGTAAATTAATGTAAAAATTTGCAATAAAAATTCTTTCTTTTTCATTTCCAATAGATAGTGCCAGATTATAATGTTGATATCTGAAACTCTTATTTTAAATTTAATTTGTCACGAAATTCCCCTTGAAATTATAAAAATGTTCAAGTAAGTTTTAATCACTTAAAATCATTTCAAGTGTTTTACAGAGTGCATTTTATATGAATTCGAACAATCAAATAAGATTTGTTCTAATTGAATAAGTTTAAAGATTAGCTATAAATTTAATTAGAAAACGTTCTCGTATTATAAAATAAATTTCTTTGGAACAGAAGTATCTGATCAGACAGAAATGTATCATTATACTCTACAGGGTGTCCCATTAAAATAGCCCAAATTCTGCAGGTCCCCCATCTGGTGTAGAACATCGCATACGTTTACATAGGAAGATATTCAAAACGGCCCGCCGCTCATACCGAATCATGCATGCGTGGGCCGTGGAGTGGCTGTCATATATCAAAGTAGCAGCATGGCATTCATCAAAGTACACGCAGCGTGAAATCGAGAAACTAAGTTGCTTTCTGTAGTAACTAGGTTCCCTCCCCCGGAGGTCGACGTAGAGAATTCTGCGAAGCTACTGGCTCGGATCTGTACCTAGGCAGTCTCGGTCACGTGGGTATAAAATTTATGAACTTGGTGGTTCTGAAAGCCCTGGGAAAGGTCATTTATTGGCCGGCCTCGGGGTCTGGCACGTCCTAGCGCGGCGTGGAAGTAGTAGCCCGGGGGTTTTCCCCCGGGTACGTCGGGAAATGACCCTGCGACGGGCTGCCCGAGCGACTGGTAGGTAACAAATAACTACCAGTGCCGTTCCGGGTGACTACCTGGGCGGTGCGCCTCCCTCTCTGAGGGGCCAGAGCGGAGGATGAACCTCTGCGCCTGGTTCTAAGGAGTGGGGGCCCCGTAGTGTGACAAATGATTCACGTAACGGAGAATGCCAATATGTTGTTGTAGTAACTAGGTCTTGATAAACGAATTCCTTCATATGCCCCCCCCCAATAGGAAGAAATCCAAAGGTGTCAGATATAGCGACCCTAGCGGCCATAAAACCTGAATCCCACGTCTAATCCAGCAGTCTGAGTATTCCATATCCAGCAAATCACATACGAGAGAGCTGAAATGCGCTGGAGTTCCATCATGCTCGAACCATAGGCGATATGACGCATATGACATCATGCTTTTATTTTGCATTTATCTCGAAAACTGTGGGTCTTACAGGTACAGTTTTGGGGCATTTTTTATGTATTCCAAGCGAGGAATCTAGCTGTACAGAGTTTGGACCATCTTGATGGGACCTCGTGTTATCAATGTCATTTGAAATTTCTTAGGCAGTTGTAGTTATTAGTTGTGAGTTTTTATTGTGTAAATAAACTAAACTCAAAATTTTCTATTGTTAGATCAGTTTGCACAGCCTTTAATAATTTCATAAAATACGTTATCTTCGTTTCTAGTTATTTTAGCTATAAAGTTTTGCAGAATAAAGCAATGAGCACAAAACTTCATCACAGTTTAGCATCTGACATACTATATAAACCTTTTACAAGTCATCTGATTTTTTTCATCGCATTTAATGTTTTGTTATTATTATAAAAACGTAATGACATTGCATATTTAGGTATTATTGTTTTGTGCTAACAGTCATAGTAAAACGATAAAATAAATTTTTTCTCAATACTTGTACTACCTTCAAGAAAGTACAAAAAAACATTTGAAAACATATTTTTACTGATTTATTTTATATTTTAATGTTTTTACTTCTATATGATCATATATAATTATTTCTTTAATGCATTTCGAAATCTTTCGAACTTGCTGAAATTTCGAAAAGTACTTTTTTAAAACTTTAGATGAGTTTTCTATCACCAAAACGTTTACAGACTTAGAAAGTTGTAGTATGGTGCTTCCCTATAATGCCGTACGTAAAAACGTAACTTGGTACTCATTTGCACTTGTGCAATATTATTAATCTAAAGAAACAATCTCATTCTTTAGTGTGACAATTTATTATAACTTCTATCACTCGTGGTTTATTGCTTTAAGCATGTGTTTTGTTGTGCTGTTTTTGAATTTCCTGACACATATTTTGAAATAGAAAACTCCTATTTCACAGAGCATCTTACTGCAGTATCTTTAGAAATCTTCATGAGAAGGCAAGAATATTTTTGTTGCAGCTATTTAAATCTGCAATATGTTTATTTGCCTATTTAAATCTGCAATATATTTATTGCAGATTACCTTTGAAAACTATGATGGCAGCACTAGACTGAAAAGATCATCTCCTATGCAATTTAGTAACGATATTAGAGCAATTTTCGGCCTCGATCCCAACTAATTTTTCATCTTTTAAGAGTCAGCATTTCCTTCTAGGCTTCCTATAAACTCTAAAATAGTTCTCAACCTACTAGAGATATGCAATAAAAAGAAATTGATTGATATTATTAAAGCGAAAAGGATCAGGAGCGTTGAATAGTATCCAAAAGGGGGCTTTGTACTCCTCTTATACAGATGATTCATCTGATGAGACAATCAGTAGCGGAGGTTCTGAAGTACTTCTGATTAGTTCAAGGGATACTACTTATGAACAAAAAATTGACACCGGAGCCATAGTCTCTAACTTGACTTGTGAGCTTCTGGCACTTTACGTATCCTTTCCCATTTCTGAGTGAGCAAAAGGAATCATTATCTTCTGTGAAGCAAAGGCAATCCTGGTAGAAGTGCCCTGATCACCATCAGGATACACTTTCGCCTAACGAGCTTAAAACGCTAGATAAGGTCTGCATTCTTTTATAGTTGCCAGCACATGTCAACATCACAGGTAACGAGAAAGCAGATAAACTATCAAAAGGACCTAGAAATCTCAACAATAATAATGGAGTAAATGTAACCCTCGCGGACGCAAATGCCATAGCCAAATACGGATAGCAGTAACTTTCAGTTCCAGTAAAGCACTACCTCCATAACATCAAGGGAGATCGACGTATAACTGAAATCACTGTTAGACTTAGAACTGGCTATCACAGAGGATTCATAATTGGCAGGTAGGAAAACCTGCAGAAACTGTGATGACTGCCCGGACACAGACCTGACAACTGCACATATTTTTTATTGTCCGGGCATCCTTGCTGAATTGCTAAAAATTGGGGGTCTTGTTTATGAGACCAAACCTCTACAATGATAACACTTTGCAGGCTGTCACCTTCGTCCATGGCAGTGTTTGAATAGGCTTTATTGTAGATACAACAAGAACATCAATGTATTTATTACGGATTTACATGTCTCAATTAGTACACTTCGTATATGAATTATCAGGGTCAATTGTTCCTTCTAACCTTCTTCGGGAACATGCAAGGACCTGACTCGGAACAGAGAGCTTACTAAAGCTATGTTCACTAATTGTGGTAAGTAGACAGGATACAAACGAAGGGTGTACAAAACCCTTTATTTTTCTCTATATACAATGACTTCCGTACTTCGGAATACACCGACCCGCTACTTGGGGTCAAAACGTAAAAGTATAAAAATAAAACTAAACTCTAATTTAACTTTAGAATAATAAACGTGGAAGATTGGCCTTATATTAACAGGAAGCGTATGTAGTACAGAGAACTGTGAACACTACAATACGTTTAAAATTTATCAAGAGGATTAAAACCTCTGGCCTGGAAGGCAACAAGCAACTGCGTAAAACTTCTAAGGTAAGCGGCCTGCTTCGACTGACTGCTTCCTCTCTCTCGCTTGGCAAAAAGCCACAACTTAAATACTTGGCGTTCGCCAGACAAACTTTGCATAAAAACCTTAACGCTTATAATTCTGGCCGGAAGTAGAAAAGTAAGAAGTGATAGTAAAGATTTAAAATAAAATAAACGTTAGTAAAACTTAAGATCCTTACATACTTCCCGCCAGAGTTAATTAGTTTGAAACTGAGGTCTAAAACGACCTTGTTGAAAACTTTTAGCTCTAGAATCTAACGCGAGGCCAATCTTTTACAAATATTTTTCGCTAGAAACTAGAAATTTGAAAAGAAAGAAATTTGTTTTTACAATAGCAGCTCCCAGGATACACAATTTTTTCATCTGTACTGCATCTAAACAGGAGCTTTTATTCAATTCTGGTTTCCTTCCAGAGATCTGGAAGGAAAACTAGTTTAATGAAATGTTACACAATGAAATGGCAAGTAACATGTATAATTATATTTCTCTTAACATTCTTATTTCATTCATGACTATTTTAATTATCTCTCTCCCCGTGCTCTCTGACATGTGTTGTAAAAAAACACCAAACACGAATGTGTTTCTGTCTACGTGTTCCACACTTCCTCCTACAATCAAAACACTAACGTGTTAAAATTCAACATGCCAAGACCTCGTAACACACCCTAATTCCAACTCTAAACCCTGAGGTACTATTCTGAAAGCGTCTAACTCTGAAGTGTAGCGTCAGAGAGCCTAACTACATCATTCAACCTTTAACACATATTCACCATTATTTTTAGTCTTTTTACAGTCACACGAATAAAAAAAAATTTAACATTCACTTTTACCATATCACGGTATTTCTTAACATTTAAAATAACAGTTCACATTGTATATAAGAACATATCAACAAGCCGTTAATTTTACACATTTGAAAACATACATTAGTAGTACATTGTTAACTTCTATTCTTTTCAAAGCAAGTGCCAATTTTTTCTACATTGAAATACTACAT